GGGGCATTAGTCTCCAGTCCTCTTGTGAGTCTGTGAACTGTGCACTGAGGCTGCTGTCAGTGGCCACCAATCAACTTAGTGGAGTCTGTGAATAAAATGTGGCAAGTACAATTTGAATCCTGAGCCCTGTTTCATAAAGCAGGCTTTCTTGTTTAGCTGGATAACTTGTTGGATTTAAGGTAGACTGAGCTAAATATAACTGAACAAAGATTACGTTGATTTACATTGGTGTACCTTATATCAACAAGATACTCGCTTAAGCAAAAAAATCCTGCTTGGTGAAATAGGCCCCAGGGGCACTATTACAGAAACTTTCTATCCTAAGTCAAGATAGAAGCATATAAGATAAAATAAGGGTTTCTCCCAATTTGATAACTGCACAAATCCTGTCTTATCTTATGTCATCCTATCTTATCTCAGGTTAAGAAATCCTAAATACTAAACACAACTCAACTTTTATGTCTTTTACCTAGCAACACTACATTTTTCATGTTGCGGAGCTATTTGGTAAACCATTAATATTGGATTTCTCAAAAGAAAAAAGAAAATCCATACTTAAAAATATAAAAAGAGCACCCATATTTAAAACTAATAATAATAATAATAATAATAATAATAATAATAATAATAATACAGTAAACCTTTCCACGGTGCGGGGGTTAGGGGTCCAGGCAAGCCCGCAGTTAGCACAAGGGACGGATGGGATGGGTCCCCTTCAGATTCAGAGTGACCTTGATCCGTCCCCCCCCCCACTCACAGGACAAAAAAACAGCATCTGCCATCTTTGCATAAGGAAAAAATATCCTTGGTTCCCCCCCAATTCAAAAATCCTATCTGCGCCACTGGGTCCAGGGCCCCCGCGATCTGGAAGAATCGCGTAGTTTTTTTATGTTCCCCTTGGTTCCCATTGCGAGCGAAATTAAAAGATATGAAACACGTGAGATACAAAGATCGCTGCGAGATCACTGACAGATATCGGGTAAGAGGCTGCAGTAAAAATGCCTGGCATTCTCTAAACCAGGACTGTATTTATATTTTATATATTTAAGAGTTATTAAACTTCTTGTGTGTGGTCTGCGGGTTTCGAAAAAATCCCATTTAATGACTTATGTCGATTCCGCGATATATTAAAACCACAATGAGGAAAGTTGCGAAGCAGAAAGGTCGAGTGTAATTATAATATTACCCACACACACACACACATACATACATACTAGTAGCCAAAATTGTGAAAGCCCTTCTAATTTTTAGAGATTGCAGGACTTTATTCATCTGTTGTTCCAGATACTTATTTAATCGTCCAGTGTTTCATATTTGTTAAATTATACATTGGACAATTGAGATAATTAGACATTTACACAATCCTTGGCCGGGCGGAGGCCCCTTTTCTTTCAGCCAGTATGAGGATGCAGTACAATTAATCACCACTAGAGAGGATAACAGTACTGTGATATGGCCGGTGTGTCTCCCAGTTATTCCGTTCAGGGAAGAAGAGCAAAAGATGACATCACCATACTCTAACTTGTCAGTGGGTCTTGACGTGCTTCACCCTGGTTTAATAGAATTTATTTTAGATACCGGACTGCTTAAAAAACCAGCAATGTTTACATTTACAACCCACATTTGCAAACAAAACATCATAGAGAATTCTGAGCTATAAACTTATTTTGAGATCATTACCTCCTAAGTGGTAAATCATTCGATCATACAGATTTTCCCAAATATAAATATCTCCGATTAACATTAACCCTACGTGTTATCTCTTTCATCTCTTGATTTAACCATATAGTCTGGGCAGGATTTAAGGTGCTTAAGAGAAAGGGAAAAACTGCATTAGCTAGAGTATGCCCATAGTGTGCGAAAATAAGTTAAAATGTACCGTAGCAAATTATTTTTCTAAATGAGTCAAAACTGAATGACAGGGAAAATGACAGGATGTTATAATGACGGGAAAATGACAAATCGGACATTGTTCAAATAACAGGAGTTATTATTATAGTTTTAAATTATTGAGATGAACCCACCCCTTCAGAGTGACACATGAGGGAGGTGTCCTGTGGGCACGAGGACACAGTGACAGTGACGCAGCCAATGCAGTTAAGCACACTATCAAAGATTTTCTTTATTGCTTTGGAACATTTCACACTTAACATTCTCACAACTGGCTAATCTGCAAAAGCCTGTAAATATCCCAAAACAATTAACTCATGTCTCAAAAGCAAATAATTCCATGAATGCATTAGTTAGTGTTACTAAAATGAAAAGTACAAGCATCATTGTTTTAACCACGAGAGTAAAAATGCTTAGATGTCAACTGATTTTTATTCTTGTCAAAGGCACTACTTTCAACAGTACATCACAACAGCACATCGCTGAACATGGTATGATGCCAGACCATTACTTCTGGGGTGCTTCACTTTTTAGTCACTGAGTATATATGTTTTTGTGTATAAAATTATTACAATGGGAAACTATATAATTCATTTTGACCAACAAGACTAAAGCGGTCAGGCTTACCTATTGTGTTTCCCTAGTGTCTCGTAATTGTCAGTTATCTTACTCTGATTACCCTCATGTGGTGTCTAACCGTTTGTATGCGAGGTAGTGATGGCAAAAATGACACTTCATGAACCATCTGATGAATTTTTTTACTCCAATAGATGGTGCTGTCTGTCCAAGAAAGGGCTCCAAATATGCCCCAAAGCAAGCCAAGAGCACCACCAAGTGGGGTCAAAAAATACGGCAAATGGTTCATGAGGTGTGCTTTTGGCCATCACTAATGTAAGGTCTTAGGCCTGGGCTGGCAGGTTGAGCATTTGTTGCATGTAGTTGTGGTTGGGGTCTCTGTGTTCCCTCAGGTGAATGGATTTACTTTGTGTGTTGTCAATAAACCCCTTTGTACTCTACATGACCTGGTCTCCCTGTACCCGTGCCTGGCTGTGATGTGACTAAACCAAGAAAAAATTACACCAAATTATAACAATTGTAGAAGATCATTTGTATGCATGTATTAAAGAATTTTTGAAATTTGTGTGAAACAATGAGAAATGATGTTCTGCTATGCAAAAGTGACATCATGGTGTGGGGATTACCCTATTTGTTTTGCAAATGTCATTTGAGAAATGTGCCAAAGCAAATAAGAAACTCTTGTACCTAACATTAACCTTTTAGAACAATAACAACCTGGGATACAAACAATTTAATAACAGATTTCCTCATTGCTCAAACATTTCCTGCTAACAGCATGCTGGGAATATGAAATAGGACAGGAACAATGGATGGAAATTTGTCTTGGCAAAACAACTGGAACTAACCCCCAGTGCTACAATCTATATAATTTCATAAAGCATATTCCTGATATCACTACCAATAATCTCAACTGGAGTGATGCTAGATGCTGTGATGGGCTGGTGTCCCATCATGGGTTATTCCATGCCTTGCTTCCATAGTATCCAGGATAGGTTTCAGGTCCCCACGATCCTGCATAGGACAAGTGGGTAAGGAGAATGAATGAATTTTAGTAGATAAACAGTATATAACGAGGCCTTGCCCATCTCCAGGCAGAGTCAGCAATACATGTATCGGCTATGTTCTTGCCAACATGTAAAAGAACACAGACTGAAGTTTGAAGTTGTTTGAATCTGTCCTAGTTGGCCAATAGGTAAAAGCATTTTAAAAGGGCCGATTTTGTAAGGCATTTGGACTAACAAAGAAGGCTTCTCTCGTGCTCCTGAGATTTTTAGTGATACTCAAATGGAGCATAATTCCAGATTCTAAGAAGAAAACAGTTTTGGAGAAACTCTAAAAGGATTCCCAAAGCAAATGACGCAAATACTTACAAACGAGATTTAAAAATAAGAAGCTTGAATTACTGTAAGAGCCAAAGGGAATTGCCCTATTTACCATAGTGTATTTGCTACACAGGCTGTTGAACACAACGATTACCAAAAGCTCCTTATGTGAAAGTGTCTGCTGAACTGAGGAGTACTTCATAATGAATCAGTGTTCTGGAACTGATTGCAATTTTCCCAGAAACGTACAAGGTAGGAGATAACAAGACCTCATTCACCGGACCTCACAGCGAGTGTTTCAAAGGCCTTTTGACAAACATGACCAACCACAATAAATTCAAACGTAAAAATGCAGGCTACACAAGAAAAAAAAAACACATAAGAAAAACAAGGCATTTGTAAAGTAACAACAGTGGGTTGCACTGGAAAGTGGGAAAAAAATTATATCTGACATTCATGGAGGTGAGGGAGTGGGTTATACTGTAGGTGCATTTAAAGCCATATTGAGACCCAGAATTCCAAAATAACTCAACCAGTCGTGATTATCAGAAATACGTAGGATAATATAAAGACCTGCTCCAATAGGAAATAGGAACATTACTATGAGATACTGCTAACACCCTAACCCTACACCAAAAAAGACCATACATCTAGTGACAACATAACAATATTTTATGATTAGTTTCTTTCTATCAGAGAATTAAGTTTTTACCTGCGTAGGTCACTTGCTGGGAGGTGGTCGCAGCTGGGTAGGGTTCACATCCAGCTGCATTGTGCCAATGCAACCCCCTACCCCGAGGTGATACTCGTTGTCTTGACAACAGAGCCAGTACACACTTAAAGAGCCTAACTTCTTAACCTGCCTTTCTGAAAGCCAACAGCAAGAAAATGAAACATGTAAGAATTCCATTGAAACTTTCTTGCCCACTCTGGCTCACTTTCTCCATGATCCTATCAATGGCTTTTTGTCACTGACAGATGGATTGAAATATCTTGTTCGTACCGGGAGCTCCCCTGCTCTTTCTAATGTGTCTGCTACAACTCTTATTGGACAGAGCTATTAATCTTGAATAGCTGTAATTCCTAAAGAGGAACAAATCAGTGATATAAAATTGAGTAAAATCACAATTTATTCAGCTGCCATTCATTCAACCTTCAACCTTTGAGCAGTTCTATGAAATTTACTCTATTAAATCCTACTGTAGGTATTACATGCAGCTTTGCCATTCTGCCATTCAGTTAAAGTGTTGATTATACATTGAGAAAAATAACAAGTGTTATCTCTTAGAATCACTGACAATTTAATTCTAAGCGTTACTAATTATCAATGAGGATTCTGCAGGGTTCTGTCCTTGGGTCCATACATTTGTGAGTATAAATGTCTGTGAGAATTGCCCCAGCTGGCTCAATGACAACATCGCACAAACTTCAATCCGCTTTGCTGATTCCTTATGGAGACTGGACAAGAAAAACAATGTGGCTCTACCTTTAAGTTTGGGTAATCCGAGTTTTCACCTATATTGGTGCTACTAATTAGCATGACTGCAAAAGTTGACAGTTTTTATGATCTCATAGTCCAATGATATACTTGTACAATAACATGAGGGATTTTGTCACATATCTTCATGATTGGGCTGTTGCAATATGGCAAAATGTTTTATTACTTTTTTTTCCATTTCAGTCAAGATCGATAATTATCATGATATAATTTCAGCCATTATTTCTTTACTTCCAAGCTCCAGTTTTTCTTAAAATTCCATTAGGATTCCCCTTACATTCAGAACATGGAAAATGATGACCAATTGAGTGGACTGTAAAGTGAAATCTAATTTTAATAAATAAATCATACAAAAATGAACAATTAACTTTTTGCCATAAGGTTTAACGCTAGAAAACACCGACAGTACGTTTTATTGGTTGGCTTTTTCTCTGCCTGCCTTGCTGCTCATTCCAGGGTTTGACATTGCTGGTGCTTGTGGCTGTAAGCTGCTGTATGTTCTACTGGATGGAAATGCTTCAGGAGGTGAAATAAGTTCATGCTATTTGACAGCCTGTCATTTTCTTATCATCAAAATTTATATGACGATAAGTGTATATATGGATAATACATGTTTATATTGGCCAGCTTTTATGACTGGAAGAAATGTCTTCAGTTGACATTCACTACTCTCTCTGAGCCGTAATAACAACTACAAAACCTCACAATGTGCTCGAGCAGGTCTACTTAGTCAGCACTAAGCAAGATAATTCTATCTTTCCCCAGAATTCCTTAGAGGAAATCCAGAATTTCAACACATTATGCCTTATAATCAGGCCACTTCTGATTAACATTTGTAGCAGGAACTGTGAGTAAAGTTCTTTTCTCATATGGAACGATTATTGCTAAGTGACTACTTGATGTGTTGATTTTCCACATTGCTGTTACCATGGAAGATGCTGCCTGTAGGCGCATCGGTTGAGGTGGCCGATCGGTGTCCTTTATCATTAGTCACAAAGCCAGTGGGGCATGTCCGACATCCGGCAACAGCCACAAGGCAGCTCAATAAACAGGCTGGTGAGAAAGCAAGGGACCGGCCCCACTAATGACGATGGCCTTTCCTCTGCGGTACCGTGAATGTATGCTGACAGGCAGGCAAGCCTTCCTGATGTGAATCCAAGAGAGGATAATTAGCACAGAAATAGAAAGGCCCTCAAGGCTAAACCACTGGTAACTAAAACCAATTTAGGGGACCCTGTCACCATATGTGGGCCGGCAGGGTATGTTGTCATAACAGAACCTACGGAGCAAACAGCCGCAAGACCCAGGAAGCAATAACGGGGTAACAACACGAGTAAATTAAGAGCATATAACCAAGTTCTGCTGGATTTTGGAAACGTATATTACCATGGCTGCTACAAGACAAACGAAACAAGGTGATGTAGGCCACAATACATTTATTAAGCTTTTAATAAAATAAGTGTTTCTTTTATTCTTCTTGTTAAAGGCAATAATGAAAAAACAGAACTTGTGTCCAGTTACCATGACAACAGGAATATAATAACCCTTACTGACCCGCTGCCTATCTGCTTTTTATTACACGGAACTGTTCAGACTCTCTTCCTCTCTTCAGTTCTCTTTTTCTTTTGCTTTCTGTTGTTTGAAATGCCCACGGAGTCTGTTCTCTGAAGGGATGGCAGGAGATTCCCAGAGAACTGAGGGTGTTATGCAGGAAGAGTGGGCTCGCTGCCTCGCTGCCTCCTCGCACCCCATCTCCTGCCTGCTACAGTGGACTGGCCCAGGAAGAACAGGGTTCTGACCAGCTGATTCCTGCTTCCTTGTGGATCCTGAGAAATGTAGTTATAATAGATCTCCAACTGACCAAAGCACCCCCCCCCCCAGCCCACCCCCCCACCAAATCTATCCACTCCAACCCACACGCCAAATGCAGTCATGTAACAGGTAAAATCAACGTCTACTCAACAATGGCTTTGCTCCTCACAGTCCATAGGTGTAAGACCCAGAGGTCCACCAAGGGGGCTGGGCCAGGCCCGGCCCTTCCCACCACCACCCTGTGGGCCTGGTGACCTTCGCGGCCGATGGGCTCCACTGCACCGACGCCTCCAGCCACCCCCGCCCCCGATCTTCAGGTCATTTGCTGGAGTGCAGCGTGTCTTGGAACTTGGTGCTGGTGTAGTGCATATGGAAGCCCTTCTTGTCGATGGTGTCGTCGGAACGGAACATGATGACGATGGAGTCGCCAGCAGAGTAGATCTCCTCTGGGGGCTGGGGGGGTGGAGAAAGGGCAGTCAGCTCCACTTCTCTCAGGAGGGGGCAGCAAAACAGTATTCGGGGATTGGGCAAGGGGAGAACCAGGCAAGCGGACACAAAGCTTCCGTCGCGTTAAAGGATTTCATTCATTTTTTTGCATCCGCAGATGATGCATGTATCCAGAAAGTGCTCAGAAATAAGAGCGTGGCCAACACTCAAATTCGCAAACTTGATTCTTTTTATTTATCAGAGAGCCTCCATCTGCCAAACTCACTGCTGTTCTCTCAAATTGCATCCACTGGTACTCTAACTGCAAATTATAATTTACAAGGGACAGCACTTCCCCTCTAGTCAAGTCTGGGCAATCTGAGTTCACCGCACATCAATACTGAACCGAGCAGGACCCAGTTTCTGATGCTGTACCGCACTGTCTGTTCAGACCAGAGGAGGTCTGCTCAGCATTCTTACCCATAATCCCTTTGCTTTTCCATAGCAGCCTCTTTCAGAGGCTTGTGCACGTATTTTCTGAAATCTATTAAAACATATTAATATGTATTAGAGCATATATTGGAGCCAGGGAAAATGTATGGATGCAGAGAATTTTTACACACAGGGTGCACTAATTCTTTCCCCAAGGCTCTCAAAAACTTAGACGAAATGAGCGCAAGGTCTATAGAAAAATACAAATTCTGGCCAGGCTTGAACACTTGACCTAAATAGGACAATTACAGGCAGAAAAGAGGAACTCTGGGCTCTGGGGAGTGAAATGATTATTCAAGGGGCACACAAGCCAGAGAAGCAGCCAGGGGAAACCTAACAAGAAAGGTTTCAGCACAGCCTCTTGACTCTTTCCAGATTTATTTCCATGCATGATCTGTAAAAATGCTACCAACACAATAAAGGGCATTAAAGCTCGATGTCACTCTAGTTAATCACACCAGTACCTACAGGTAATTAAGCTAATAAGGATAATTGTTAAATAGACCACGATATGCGGCAATCAGTGGCTGGTCCTACCCCCGATCCACAGTAACGGCCCAGCCGGGGAGCCTTGGTATCTGCGCCGTCAAAGAGCTCCACGTAGTCATAGCCACAGTCCGCCTCCTCTTCCACCTCGAAGGTCTGGAAGATGATCTCCACCCCATAACCCTTCTCAGCTGAGATCACCCACTGGCAGTCGGAGGCACTGGGGTAGTAGTTGTCCCCGAACTGGGCGTGGGAGTACAGGTCCTTAGTCTTCACCTCGGCCTTCAGGTTGCCGCCACACTCTGTGTGGGTTGATGAGGTGTGTTGGTGAGGTCATTCTCCCAAACGACCCCGACTGGTATTATTATCTGGGTTGACCCAGAGTTTGCTGACCTGGGCTTAGGTGGTTCTCTCAAAAGAAGCCGAGGCTGGCCTACCTGCTGAGTGTGAGGCCTCAAAGCCCTTCTTCTGCACAGAGTTGTCAGAAAAAAACCGCAGGAACATCCTGTCGCCAGTGGAGATGAGGGGGGCCGGCTTCTTGCTTCCGCAGTAGCGGCCCAGACTGGGGGCCTTGGCGTCCCGTCCGTCATAGACCTCCAGGTGGTCATAGGCACACTCCAGGTGAGTCTCCATGTCAATCTCATTGAAGGCCTAGTGTAAGGATGGAGCGACGACTCTGTTATTTCCCAGAATGCAAATGGGAATATGCATCAGCAGAGGTAACAGGCCATGTCATCACATCCGAGGGAATATATCGGGCTACGTCATTAGTGTATGGGACTAAATATTCACTGTTTGATGCTATATCAGCCAACATCATCACTGCCAAAGGGTTTCATCACCGCTGCTACAAGGCTACATCTTCACTGTTATGAGACTACATCAGGCCTCATCTTTACTGCTAAAGGCTTTATCTGGATACATCACCACTTGAAGGGGCTACATCTTCACTGGTGAGACTCCATCAGGCAACGCCATCATTGTTAAGAGGCTACATCGGGCTATATCATCACTGTCAAGGGGCCACGTCTTCACCGTTATGGGGCTAAATTAAGCTACATTGAAGGGCTACATCATTACAGCTATGGGGCTACATCAGGCTATGTGATCATTGCTAAGGGGCAACATCGTGGCTACATTATTAAGCATTAAGTTGTTTTCCACTAAGCCGACAGAACAAGGCAGACAACATACAATTTTGATGCGATGGCCTGGGGTGGTGGACAAGGCCCAGGTACAGGCCTTCTTGCTGGGGTAATTATCAGGCCAATTGGGGCTCGTGATGATGCCAGATACGCTATTTATGATGTGATCACAGCCCGCTGCAATGGAGGAAAAGACAAGCATCAATGTGGCATCAGCTAAAAGCTAAGCTCAGCATTTCCCTAAGATATTTATACAAGTTCACATTTTTGTATACTACGGAAAGAATCCCAAAAAATATACTGCAAGACTAGTGTAAACTTTAAATGGAAACTACTAGAAAAGGTGTACTATCAGCATCCCTTCTGCAGCTGGTATCCTGCAAATCCACGTGTGTATCGCCGTGGCATCGCTGGGGGCACTCGCGGGACACACCTTCCTTGCAGTCGTGCCGGTTGTCGTGCAGGACGAAGCCGCTGCGGCACAGGCAGCTGTAGGTGCCCAGCGTGTTGACGCACTCGTGCATGCAGCCACCGTTCTCCTTCGAACACTCATCCTTATCTGCAGAACCACAGGAAAAAAACAGGGGTTGGGGGCTCAGATGTCAGACAGGCCAGGCAACTCACGCCGCAGAAAAACACAATGACAAACCACGGCCGAGATGAGGAGGTCTGGTGGGCTCCCCGGGTGCCAGTTTTAACCTGGGGCCGCCCACCATGGCTCACAGCCATAATGAGGGACACAGCAGACATGGAGTCATGCGATGCAGGAATTAATGGTTAGTGTACATGCATAGTAAAACAAATTGAATGATCAAAAAGGTAAAAACTTGATGAATAATTATAAAGTGTTAGAAATTGTTAAAACGAAATAACGATCTAAATAAGATGCATAAGATTTGTTTTTACGAGAAAAAAAGAAATATAAAAACAGCACCGACTTTACTATAAGCAAGCTCACAGAGGGGGACCTGATTACCCAACATCAACACCCAAAATGAATGGCAGCAACTCCCACAAGCAATGTTTCAGCATCTAATGGAATGCCTCCCCAGGAAAGCAGAGGATATCACAGCAAAAAAGTGCAACCAAATTCATATTAATAACTAGGGATGGACCGATCCACATTTTTTCAGTTCTGATCTGATTCCGATACACAACGGCTCATAACGATATAGTTTCCGATACAGTAACTATTTTACTTTAATATTTTAATATAACAAATATACGATATATATTTATACTTTATATATTATAAATATTTTTCAACTAGTAAATACAGATAAAAAAATCTTTAATTAGGCTACTAGAAACATACATAACGTACTGTTCCACCCTGTATGTATATCATGTTTTAAGCATTTTTGAGGCATTTTGTAGTTCCATTTGAATATCTTCCAAGTGATTACAGTCGTCCCTCATTTATCGCGGTTAATCCGTTCCAGACTCTACCGCGTTAAATGAATTTCCGCAAAGTAGGATTCTTTATTTCTTTATTATTCGGCTGCACCTGGCGTTGAAGGATTTGAGGGGGTGCTCGAATACATAGGCCTACAGTCCATACGTACAGTAATTTTAATTTTAATTGTAATACAGAGGTGTATAATTGACTCAGACAACCGAGCGCGCGCTGTATCATTTTCACTGTCTATCAACTTTTTAATGAATAAATGTATTTGAAAAAACCGCGATAGAGTGAAGCCGCGAAAGTCGAAGCGCAAAATGGCGAGGGATGACTGTATACGCAAGTGGCGAATGCTTTAAATGCCCCGTAATTTTTCTCCCACTGGCAACAGCAGCACTTCGTTTCGATAGCAGCCCCTTGTGTATCACAAGCTGTAGCAACACAGCCCAAGTTAGCGACTCCCAAATCATACATTGCTTTTTTCATATTAGTCGCGTTGTCTCGCATTTTCCACTAAATGCTACTCCCACCTCTCAAAACTTTGTTTTTACTAAGATTGCAAATCGCTGTGCTACTAGTTCCTGCTTAGAGCGTAAAATATTTCCTGATCGTCACCTTCTTATCTGATCTGTTCTTACGCTCCTTCTACTGCAACGGGTATGCGCATGACGTCACAGCAGGCAGAAGTCACTGTGCTCACACCCACTGAGTGGCAAAAAGACTGAGAGGCAGCCATAGCTTTTAGCATGAATGCCGCAAAAAATCTAAAATGAGAAAGAGCTGTAGTGCGTTTGGCTGTACAAATAGATTTAACACGAAATAGGAGATATCTTTTTTGAGACTGCAACATCCGAAATAACTGAGTATTAGACGTTGATCGGTCACGTATGACCGATACCCGATCCGTCAAGTAGGTCTGGATTGGTGCCGTTCGCGATCCAAATATCAGATCAGTGCATCTCTATTAATAACCTTGGCACAAGCTGGTGTCCGCATACTACTGGCCATATAGTGTATATACAGAGTACCAGTCCTGCTGCAATATGACTAACGCATTCCTGAAAAACCTCGCATTCACTAAAATCGCATTTTCAAATACACATATTCTATGGGGAAAATAGAGCTAAGAAAACACGACTCCAAAACTCAGTAACTTATTCTAAATGAAATGAAATAAATTATAAAAACAATGATACCAGTGGCCAATAATATAATTATATGCATTTTAAATAAGAAATTATAATAATACATTAATAAATTATATCATACACATCTCCTTTGAGTCTTATGAGTCTCACGAGAATTGCCTACTAACCAGTTCAACTGAAAGTGCCAAACTTGCTAACTTATATGTGAACAACTGGATCCCAGTGTGGATTTTACCTTCCCTGGGATAGATAAATGTGTTTAACAGCTCCTGCTTGTGCTCTGACACAGAGGGGAGGCAGCCTGCATCTCCACACGGCCACTTACCTGAGAAGAACTGGGCCCTGAAGCCCTTTTTAGACACTGTGTTGTCAGACTTGAACTCAACGCGAATGTTGTTGTATAGGGAGGTGATCGCCTCAGGCTTCTCCGGACCACAGAACCTCCCATGCAGCTTGGAGTCCGGTGTGAGTCCACTCCGCACCTCCACGTAGTCGTACTTGCACACCTGCAGGTATGAGGCAGAGGAAAGTGGACAAAATTGACCCCAGAGAGGTTTCTTTTCAAAGCCAAAGCTACCTTGACCGAATTCCCAGTTGGAAGCATGTCATAGAGCGGTCATCAACATCTAGCAACATCCATGTGAACCATGGAATTCGCAATCAAAGCTGAACCTCTTTTCATGGCAGCGCATCCTTGCAGTATTAATAACTTTCTCTTATCCACTATTGCAATATTTGCTTTATGCTTACATTACACAATGTTACATTGCAGTGTCTGCATATTTATTATAATAATTATAATTGTGTTACTTATATGCACCTTAATCTGTACTTCTGATCCGTGTTTTGTGTTAATTTATGTTTAGCAGAAGGACATACAAAGTAGATTTTCATTGTATAGTGGAACTGACTGTTTACTGTGCATACGACTAATATACTCTTGAATATTAATACTATTCATTTATAAAACTTCTAGATTTACATTTATATAATTAGTAGTGATGGCAAAAACTACGCTTCATGAACCATGTGCTGTATTTTTTGACCCCACTAGATGGTGCTGTGTGATGGAAAAAAAGGGCTCAAACATGCCCCAAAGCAAACCAAGAGCACCATTTATCGGGGTCAAAAAATACTGCAAATGATTCATAAGGCATTGTATTGTACATGACTAATATTTAGCTACCTGTTTTCTAGACACTTATTTACCTAAGAGTTGTCAGATTTCATTGAAGCAATTCAGTATATACGCATTTCTCACTGGTACAATAGTACCAGAAGTCAGCCTGTGATAATTTAAATCTCCACTTTTGAGTTACGAATCTGACTCTTTAAGCACATTACCACCCACTGCCGCAGCAGCGTGATTGACAATCATTTGCTTACGTCGTTGCCCTCTGTCTCAAAGGCATCAAACTGCAGCGTGATGCGATGCTGGGGGGGCGCCACCAGCTGCCAGACGCAGTTCTTGTTGGGCGGATACTCCCGTGGCCAGCCAGGACTGGTGATGGTGCCGTTGGACTTGGTGAGAAAACCGCCACAGGCAGCTGCTGGGGTGGACAAGTCACGGGTTAACACCAGCGGCAGCTTGGACAGGCTTTGGAAAGCAACCAATCAGAGGGCTGTGCCAAGGCCAGTGAGGTGACTGAATTGCTTCTGATAGGTCACTAGTGCTGTCACATGGTGCCTTCCGGGCCAGTGATTCTCAACTCAGTCCTCAGGGACCCCAACACAGTTCATGTTTTTGCTTGTTCCCAATAAACCTGTACCAAGTATTCAGTGTTCTTGATATGCTGGAAAGTGGGAGGAGCAAAAATGTGGACTGTCCCTGAGGACTGGGGTGAGAATCTACGCCACACATCAGTATTCAGCTATTATGTTTATCACTCCATCAACAAAATTTTGGTATCAGTGGGCACTTGAAAAACAGCACAAAAACCTGCACATACAGTTGGAAAAAACAACGTAAAAAAGCATTCCGTTTATCAAGTTGTTTTAATCGTAAATCATTCATCCAGCCATCTTGTTATGGTCATAGTCACAGGAGGGTCAGGAGCATATCCCGGGCAGCAAAGGGCACGAGGCTGGGGTGCAGCCTGGATTGTTGCAGGGCACAAACAGACAAGGAGAAATCTGGAGACGCCATTTAGCATAACTGCACGTCGATGGGTTTCATGGGGAAAAACAGAGCAGAGGTGCAATCAAAAATCAGTTCTCTAATATTATATGGAAATTATCTTCCACCTTAACTTTATATGCCAAAGGGCCTTCATCCCCCAACACAGGCCAGCCATATTGAGGAAATGGCAGCGTTTTCCTCACATGAAGGGGGCTAGAGTGCTGGGGAAAAGGGCGAATAAGGCCTGCAGGGTTTAGCTGCAAATCCTGCGGATAAAAGAGGTCTGCTGATGGCTAAACAAAAACCCACGTGTCCACGAAAGCTCAGCCCGGCGTTTCCACTGGCAACGGCAAGAGCAATCGCAGAGAACAGGCAGAGAGGTGCTAAACCGCAGAGCCGCTCGGGTCGCCATGTGTGCCGCTCTGTAATCACAACTCTCTTTGATTACTCAGTTATTAAAATTTCACAATACACAGGAAAGGTGAGCTCACTGTAAACTGCATTCAGTCTTGGCTTAATAGATTAGCTGGTACACAGTTTAATTAGAGCTGATTAAGCCTCTATTACAATGAAACAAGCCCTGAGAGACGAGACAGGTTTTAACAATCTAACAATTATGTTTCTAATTGTTTTCAGTGTGAACTATCACAGACTCTTCTTTGAAGTGTTATATATGTTTTTCTAAGGTTCCTCCAAGCATGAAGGGCTTTGTGTGAGCTGCGTTTTGGAGGTGTCTCAGGAGAAGGTGACTAGGCTTAACTGTTGATTTGGTCCCTCATTTTTACAAAATACCTCCCCAGAGATCCCAGCCACAGCCTTCAGTGCGAATCCCAGGTGTCACTGGCTGTCCTGAGTCCATTTCCAGTCATACTATAATCACTCCCTGGGTTGTTTTTCTTTCTCACCTGAAATAATGTAGTTCCAGCTTTTTGTGTTGTGTGTCTGTACCGTTCCATGAGAAAAATATATACCCCAAATAAACTATCATTTCCTGCCCCGTGCCATAATGTCCAGTTTGCCAGCCTGACTAGAGGCTTTTGTTAACTCTTTCACTTCTTCTGATGAAGTTGTGTTTGTACATACAGGATTTGCCAGTCATAGCATATATTGTGTAATTTAATTGGTCGGTCGCTGTACATGTTGTGTTCTACCATCCCACGGACGCATGACTGGTCAGCCATTACGCAGAAGGTAAAACTCTATTATTATTCTGCACTGGGGAGCGGTGCACTGGAGAGCGGTGCACTGGACAGCGGTGCACTGGGGACACTCACCCTCGCAGCTGCGTTTGTCTGCTGCCAGCTCGAACCCAGGATCGCAGGCACAGCGATAGCTACCCAGCATGTTGATACAGCGCTGCTCGCACCGTCCATTGTCTGGCTTGGAGCACTCATCCATCTCTATGGGACAAAACGGGAGGCGACAAACGGCCGTCACCAGTGGACATGGCCGCTGGTGTCCTCACCCGCCTGGAGACTCTCACCACCTTTGAAGAAGCTGGCGGCGAAGCCGGCTTTGTTGACAGAGCTGTCGGACACGAACTTCATCCAAAGCTTGTTGGAGCTGCTGTTGATGTTCTCGGGCTTGTCATAGCCGCAGAAGCGGCCCAGCAAGGGGCTGCTGTCCAAGTCGCCGTCCCGGATCTCCAGGTAGTCGTAGGTGCAACTGTCATGCCTCTCAATCTGGAGGAATCCCCAAAGGGCCGATTAGAGCGTGACAGCTACACTGGGCACACACGCCACTTTAATTTATGTTGGTTTTTATTTGATCCCTTTGTGTAGCTGGATGTATCTACAGAGACGTTTCAGGTTAAATCTCAATCCCAGGCAATTACAGCTCCACAACTGTGCCTTTCATTGGGGGAAAATAATTGGCTTCCTTCCAGTCGGCCAGGCCATCCCGGCGTTCTGCTGTGAGATGGGCCATTCACCGATTCCGCAGGCGGCTTCGGTTTGCCAGCCGGCATCAAGGGAGGAGACTCGCTTCCTACGGTCCCCGTTCAGCTCCGGTTCGCTGCCGCGTGATTCAAAGAGGCAGAAAAATGCCGGGAACAAACCCAGATAAGCTGCCGCCAGCTTTCGTTGGGCCCAAAGGACAGCTGGACTCAACATGGGCCCGCTAACATTTTGTGAAAATCAAGTAAATGCTGTTCTAGCCAACAACAGTTGGCAGCTGCACTAACCAAAGTGTCTTCATGCACATGACCATTATAAGCACTTAACTTCTAGTGACAATGGCAAGTGGTTTTCAATTATTAAAAAGCAAGAGAAAACTGCTTTTTATGTTCACTGGTTTAACTTCTGAGATAGAAGTACCAACACTCTCAGCTCTGATTGGTTGGTTATTCTCCCATCCAGATTTCATTGGTCTTTCTAAATGAACTGATCTGATTACAAGATGGATTCTATAAACCCTACCCAAAAGAACAAACTGGAGGTCCAGTATTTTCATACTTCTTTGGTGCCATTTTTATCGGCTATTACACAAGTATGGTATATAGGCAGAGAAAATCTTTTCACTTGAGTCTTGGGCTACATCACCTGTAAATGAACAGTTTGAGCTCTAAACTGTAAACACTGATAAAAAACTATAAAAACTTCTTATCCCAGAATCCAAACTCAGAATTCATATTCCATTATCTATAATACAGGTAAGCCCTTTTCAGACCTAGACCTACTATTTCCAGAGACTGAAACCAAAGACTGTTGGCAACAAGGCTACTGATGAACATGAGGCTTTTTCACTTGTAGGGGGCGCTCCATCTGCTGAGCAAAACGCAAACAGCTTAGCTTATGTGGGTTTTTTTGTGGGCTGAGTAAAAGAGCACTGCATTGACCAAAAAGAAGGCGCTACAATAATGACACAACACTTCTTAATTTTCTGGGAGGGTTCGCTAACAGGAGCAACACATCAGACCTGCGGGGGGCAGCAGAGTCGCCCTAGCAGAGTGAAACACACCCTCCCACAAGCGAACTGCTACAGTCACGAACAGGAATTATGTTCTTCTGTTTTGTACATTTATCCCATTTGTGAACCCTATAGTTTTTTGTGTTTAGTTTTTTTTTTTAAACATTTTGTGCTATAAAACACATTGATTCCATATAATTACAGTGCAGTGGAACTTCATTTTCATGGCTCTTTAATGGGAGCGGCTGGGGTAGAACTGCAGAGCCCTTAAAAAAGACAATTTGCTCACCTCGAAGGACTGAAAAGCGAGGCCCACGTGAAAACCTGGTGCCACGGTGACCCGCCACACACACACCTTGTTGGGCCGATAATCGTCTGGGTAGTTGGGAGACTGGATCTGTCCACTGTCACGGCTCAGATCCCCACCACAGATGGCTGTGGGCAGGTGACAGGGTGGTCGTCACTACTTCATAACACTTGTCCCTCGTCCCCATTGCTTTTAAGAAGCCTACTTTCACCTCTGGCCTGTTTGAGCTGTGGATAATGCACTGAAATGGAAACAGCGACCCCCCCCCCCCTTCCAAATGGCAGCTCAAACCCGAGGCAGCTCCTTTATGGACAGTACCTTCATACGCCACCGAGAAGCCCCTCCCCACCCAGTTGCTGCTGCTGCGAAACTCGATCCACAGCCGGCTGTCTGTCGAGGTGATTGGCTCAGGCAGTTTGTCGCCACAGAAACGACCTGGGAAAAGCACCAATTGCCTCTTGTTAGACTTGGGCTCTTAAACAACAACAACGACGCTGTGCTAATGCTGTGCCTCATGGGAGGACATTCCATTGAACCTTTTGACCCCCAAGGCCACATTTATTGAACATTTCCCTTGTACTAAGAATACACCCCTCGGCAATGTTAATGGAGGCAATTTCTCCAGCTGGGACCTTTAGTAATTTAGATTATAATCATAACTGCATGTGGGTTTAAAGGAGGCCCACGCTTTCTCTACATGCCTATGCAGAAAGAGGCTTTTGATTAGGCGAACATGCTGTATTGCAAATTAGGACAATGAGATTCACCTCATCGAATGAGGCGGACATGAGGGATTGTTAAGAAAGTTGTACATCAGGCAGCTCTCCCAAGAGAAGCTTCTTGTTACTTGCTATTGCTCATGAACATCACCAGAAAAACTATTATCCACATTTAACAAATACATGGTACAGTACAATTACTTTTCATTTGCATTTCCTCTCATTTACTGTTGTTTTACGGCCAAAATACCCTCATTGAGTAGCCTACCAGCTAAGCATTAGATTTGTGTTTTTATCGCATATTCATCCATCTTGGGGGGTGGGTGTTTAAGTGGGTTATGGTGCTGTGCCTGTGATTAGATGGCCACTGGTCCAAATCCCAGGGTCAGCAGAGTGATGTCACCACTGGGCCCCTGAGCGAGGCCTTTAAATCCAGGGTCTGGCTGGTGATGCTTTATAAACTATGTATGTCACTTAGGAGAAAAGCATCAGCTAAATAAATATATCTTACAATCTTATCCTGCTCAGGATCTTGAGGAGGCCCTGGATCTATACCAGTCAGAACAGGGTACAAAGCAGGGTTACACCATGAAGGGGTGCAAGCTCACTGAAGGACACATACAGCTCTGGAAAAAATCAAGAGACCACAGCACAATTTTTTGTTTCACTCATTTCTCAATTTAAGGGTTTGCATCTTTGAATAATATACATTTTCTTGCAAACTCTAGCCTGGCTCTTCCCTGCTTCTCATTGACGAAGGGCTTCTTCCTTGCTTTATGGGTCTTCAGTGCTGCTTCTAGGAGCCTAACAGTGCTAATTGTCCTAACAGTGCACTTCACACCACTTAATGTTTCCCATTCTTTTTGAATGTCACTTGAGGTCATCCTCTGATTCATGGGAAACTGTCGGATAAGTTGACAGTCATCTCTGGCATTAGAAAGTTGCTTCTGGCTTCTACCTGGCTGGTTTTCTGGTCATTCCCAGTGCCTCCTGCTTCATCTTGTTCTTGTGTACTGCTGTCTTAGAAATTTCGAACCTGGAAGCAGTCTGCCTCGCAGTGTAGCCTTCTACCTGCAGAACCTGGATTAAACCAGGACTTATAAAAGCAGATATTTAAAAAATATAGAGTGGTCTCTTAATTTTTTCTAGAGCTGTACATATATAATAAAGATCATGCACAATGGCAGTGTTCCTCAACCTAATCCTCGAAGACCCCAAGACAGTGCAGGTTTTTGCTCCCTACCAAGAGCTGGGAGAGAGCAAAACATGGCCCATCTGGGGGGCCCAAGGACAGGCTTGAGAAACACTGCATTATGGGTAATGTAGAGATGACACTGGACTGCAGAAGGACACAAGAACACTGGAAAGAAGTCCACACAACACAGAGGGAACATTTAAACAACATAGAAAAGAAACACAGGATTCAAACCCACAGCCCAGGAGGTGTCAGGTAACAGCACTACCCACTTAATCATTGTGTCATTCCATTCTGTCATCTCTATGAATTCAAATTAAATAAATGGCATTTTAACTAACTGTGATAAAACAGAAAATACTATCATGGCAACCATTAAGAATTGTCACAAGTACGAGTATATTATTTGCTTACCAGTAATAAACCATTTTATCAACTGAAAATGCATATTTTTCAATATGCACATATTTTCACCATTCGTCAAACAAAATCCTACAAAAAGAATATCGCTGCTTTAAGGACTCTCTCAGTATTATAAGATGACCCTGTTATTTACACAATACCTGCGGAAATGTGTACTTAAACTAGCATTAAAAATGCTGTTTGTGGCAGTCTTCGGAAATTCTAGAGGAGTTGAAAATAGATTTGTTATGTAAATAAGCCCAGCTTTAAAGGAAAAACCTGCACATTTACAAAAGATGGAATAAACAGAAAAAAATACAGACTAAAAATCAAGCAGGACTCGGCGAGCCATGGATACAGACCTTTAAGAGCAGCTTTTCTCCAGTATCCATCCCGAATCTCCACATGGTCATACCAGCAAAGGTGACTCCTGTACAGGTCCATGGATGTGAAATTCAGAATAATCTGGTGAAAAAACGGCAGCAGCTGTCATGACCTGCTTGTATGATCCTCGTGTGTGCCACGTCCCCTCATTACCTACGCGTGCTTCCCCGATTGTGATAACCTGTTGCCTGTTATTTTCTGCTTGTCTTGTGTATTTAGTACACGTTCAAGTCTGTTTCCCCAGGGCTGTCATTAACGTGAGTTTGCAGTGTGCTCCCCTTTGTCCTGTCCGCTCTAAATAAACCCTGTTTGATAGTATTCACAGCTCTCTCGCCTGCTTCCCCGCTTGCCCGCACGCAGTCATTACAGCAGCACATGGTGAAATCCTTTTCCAAAAATGATTTTTAAAACAAATAATAGCTAAATCCATTCAATACAGGAGAATGGTGAGCTTCTCCCAGGACACACAGAGCACAAGGCAGGGGACACCATGGACAGTTATGTGAGTCCATCACAGGGTACAAGGCAGGGGACACCATGGACAGTTATGTGAGTCCATCACAGGGTACAAGGCAGGGGACACCCTGGACGGGATGCTAGTCCGTCACAGGTTATAAGGCAGGGGACATCCTGGATGGGATGCCAGTTGATCACAGGGTACGAGGCAGGGGACACCCTGGATGTGATGCCAGTCCATAACAGGGTACAAGGCAGGGGACACCCTGGATTGGATGACTGTCCATCACACGGTATAAGGCAAGGGACACCCTGGACGGGATGTCAGTCCATCACAGGGTATAAGGCAGGGGACACCCTCGACAGGATGCCAGTCCATCACGGGGTATAAGGCAGGGGACATCCTGGACAGGATGCCAGAGCATCACAGCATACGAGGCAGGGGATACCCTGGACCGGATGTCAGTCTATAACAGCATACGAGGCAGGGGATACCCTGGACGGGATGCCAGTCCATAACAGGGTATAAGGCAGTGGATACCCTGGACGGGATGCTAGTCCGTCACAGGTTATAAGGTAGGGGACATCCTGGATGGGATGCCAGTCGATCACAGGGTACGAGGCAGGGGATACCCTGGACGGGATGCCAGTCCATAACAGGGTATAAGGCAGGGGACACCCTCGACAGGATGCCAGTCCATAACAGGGTACAAGGCAGGGGACACCCTGGATGTGATGCCAGTCGATCACAGGCTACGAGGCAGGGGACACCCTGGACAGGATGTCAGTCTATAACAGCATACGAGGCAGGGGATACCCTGCACGGGATGTCAGTCCATAACAGGGTATAAGGCAGGGGATACCCTCGACAGGATGCCAGTCCATCACAGGGTATAAGGCAGGGGACACCCTCGACAGGATGCCAGTCCATCACAGGGTGTAAGGCAGGGGACACTTTAGGCGGGATGCCAGTCCATCACAGGATACAAGGCAGGGGACACCCTCGACAGGATGCCAGTCCATCACAGGGTATTAGGCAGGGGACACCCTGGACGGGATGCCAGTCCATTACAGGGTATAAGGCAGGGGACACCCTGGACGGGATGCCAGTCCATCACAGGGTATTAGGCAGGGGACACCCTGGATGGGATGCCAGAACATCACAGGGTATAAGGCAGGGGACACCCTGGACGGGATGCCAGTCCATCACAGGGTATTAGGCAGGGGACACCCTGGATGGGATGCCAGAACATCACAGCATACGAGGCAGGGGACACCCTGGACGGGATGTCAGTCCATCATAGGGTACACAGTGGGCATTTCTGAGTCACTTCTGATTGACCTAATCACATGTTTTAGTGAGGAAACCCATGCAAACATATGAACACTCATACCCACAAAGTAGGGGGCAGGAATCAAAGAGCTACTAACCGGGGGGAACAACTGGAGGGGGGGCAGAAGGTCTGGGAATTATGCGTGGCAGTCCTACTTCTAAACTGAGCCCCCTTGAGCCACAGCTAACAGATTATCCATCCATCCATCCATCCATCCATTTTCTGAAACCGCTTGTCCTATTTAGGGTTGTGGGGGGTGCGGAGCCTATCCGGGAGGCTATGGGCAGGGCACCAACCAATCGCAGACTAAAAGATTATTAATTGCCAAAACACTTATTTGTTATTATTCTTCATTTCCAATGAACTAAAGAATGGATGGATGGATGGAGGGATGGAAGGATGTCTCGCAGCAGACATAAAAATGTTTCCTCACACACTTCTGTCATAAAGCAGTGTTTCCCGGCAGCAGTGGGGCGACCCCGACGTGACCCTGACCCACCTTCTCCCCAGGCGTGACGGAGACCCTCCAGACACAGTGCATGTAGGCCGGGTAGCCGTTGGGAAAGCCTGGAGAGGAGAAGTTTCCGCTGCTGTCCTGCAGGCTCCCGCCGCACTCTGGCCACACACAGAGATGCAGCGTTAATGGGCATCTGCGGCCAGGAGGACCACGTGCTGGACTGACGTCGCCCAGCCGACCCTTTCACACATCACTCCGCGTTTGTTAGGCACGCAGCATTCCGAGAATAAAACGATCCTCGCATTATACCACTAAGTACAGGACTTTACCGTACCATAAACATAAGGCCGCAATTGGGGCATGGATACCTGGGCAGATTCAGGGGCTCTGCACTTTACAAGGGCCCTTCAATACGTTACATTGTGAATTTCATTCGGTGGGGAGGGAGCAAGGTGACATTTTGTAAGGGGACCCAGAATTTCTAGCTATGCACCCTGCATAAATGTAACCCGCCTCCAGAAATACCTGATTGTGAAAACAGGTAGTAGGTGATCCATGTGATAAAGGCCCCTTAGAAATGGGTCTCACTCAAAAAGAGCAGAGTCACATGCAAAAGGACGAGGCTCCGCCCAGCAAAGGAGGAAGACGGCCCTCATTTCTCAGGCTAATCATTATTTGCTGGACTTTTTCTTGTCTCTTCCAGATGGTCCCCAGAGCTAATGGATGACCTGTGGTGCGTCGCTAAACGTACAGCTGTGAGTGAATGCTTTTTCCCACCCCCACCCAAACACCGCCCATTCCCCCCATCGCAGCCTTCGTGCACATGCATCCTACACGCTAAGTTTCTCTCTCACTTGGCATCCAATCTCCTTCCCCTATCAGTCAGCAATCTGTCCTAAAGCTTCCCAGGTACATGGGCGAGTCAAAAAAATCATTCACAATGTTCTTTGCATTTTTTTCCCACATGATCAGAACCTCAAACACATTTCACCCCTCCCAGTTCTGATCTATATGTGACAGACTGTCTTCAGAGCTTAAACTGTGTAAAGTGCCACTTAGATAGCATACCGCTAATCACCAAATTCAGCATGTGAAATCTATCATGAAGTCTAGGAGTCAAGATTCCTGACACCTGCAAACCCTATACTATGTGAAAGATCACTTGTTTTCCTTTGTGCCATTTTATGCATAAGTGCTGCTAAATAGCCATTAAAGCAGCTCAGTAAAGGTAAGTCCGGGAAGTTCCCACAACTGTGTGAAAGGCGCCCCCTAGATGGAGGCAGTGCAGGATGTGCGCGGCTCTTACTGGAGCAGCGGTAGAGTTTGCGTGCCTGAGCGATGTCACCCTGGCTCAGCCTGGTCCTCTGGCCAATGGGAGGCCGGACTCCGTTCACATCGTAGCGAGGCAAAATGGTGTCCAGGAACACGCCCCTGGAGGAACGGGGAAGCGGAGGGTCAGTGGAGGGGGGGATATATATATATATGTCCAAAACACACACACACACACACAAGCACACACACACAAACGCATACAAACGCACATGGGTTTGTAATTATATCTTTGTGGGGACTCTCCATTCATTTCTATGGGGAAAACTCTAATGACATCATAACAACCTTAAGCCCTAACCAGCCCTAACCCTATAAATAACCAAACAAACTACAAGACTTGACATTTTTAGTTTTTTGAATCTTTATAAAATTGAGGTTATCCTTGTGAGAACCAAAAAAAACCGTCCCCACAAGTTAAATTATTACAGGTGTTAATCCCAAGGAGGGGAAATCTGGTCTCCACAATGTAATAATCACAAAACGGCCTCCACACTCACATACAGCCATGGAAAAAATTAGGAGAGCACAGCACAATTTTTTGTTTCACTCAATTCTCAATTTATGGGTGTGCGTCTGTCAGTAATATATATTTTTCTGCAAACTGTAGCCTGGTTCTTCCCTGTTTCTCATTAATGAAGGGCTTCTTCCTTGCTTTATGGGACCTCAGTCCTGCTTCAAGGGGCCTGATACAAACTATCCTAGCAGTGCACTTCACACCTGTATTTAATGTTTCTCATTCCTTTTGAAGGTCACTTGATATCATCCTCTGATTCATGGGAAACTGTCGGATAAGTTGACGGTCATCTCTGGCATTAGAAAGTTGCTTCTGGCCTCTACCTGGCTGGTTTCTGGTCATTCCCAGTGTCTCCTGCTTCACCTTGTTCTTGTGCACTGCTGTCTTAGAAATTTTGAACCTGGAAGCAACCTGCTACTCAGTGTAGCCTTTTGCCAGGAGAACCACAATTAAACCATTATTTAAAAATGCAGATTTGTTTAAAAATATAGAGTAGCCTCTTAATTTTTATCACGGCTATATATACTCACCCAGTACTTGTAAAGTCTTAGGCAATCAAAAAATGCTTAAAGCTATTTATCTGGGTAACAAGTGTTTATTTGCTCAGGAAAAAAAATGCAATTTAACATTACAACATATGCAAATTAATAGTAACTATTTTTGTTCACCAAAAAGTTCCTGATATCTTATTAGACAGATCGATGAACCCAGCTTTGGTTCCCAAACCCCCCCCTAAGGGGCATCCCAATCAGTCCATGAATGTGTTACAACCAGCTCACTTTATTAGATCCATCCATTTTCTGAAACCACTTGTCCCATTCAGAGTCGCGGGGGGAGTCAGAGGCTATCCCGGAGGCTACGAGCACAAGGCAGGGAACACAGAATACATGCCCATAAAACAGTACTATTTAATAATGAATGATCCTAAGATCTCTGCGGTCTGCTCCAGGGCGTGAGGGCAATCGGGTCTCTAGCCCTATTAGACCACCGCCTCCGCCTCGTCGCCTCACTGCCTCATCGCCTCACTGCCTCGTCGCCTCACTGCCTCGCCATTCGGAAAAGGTTACAACTCCACAGCTTCGCCTGACCTTTGGCAGGTATCCCCTCCCCCCCCCCCCCCTCCCAACTCTTATTATTTCTTAGTTGATATTCAACATTCAAGAAAGATGCTCTTCTAATGGGAAACTTGATGTTGGAGTGAACATGTTATGAGAAAAGTGGAAAAACAGAAAGATAAAGAATCCTGTGAAAAAGTAAGAGATACAGAGGTAATCAGGGAGAAAGAATGATAATCTAAAGGATAACTGGATAACTGGAATGAGAACCAGGACAATACTGGGTTTTTGTAGATCTAGCTGGGATATTTTATATACAGGGATGTTTTGGTCTGAGAAGAATGGTGTATTGCATTAGCTCATATTGCTGATCTCTCACTGTATAAATATCTGTACATTTCTAGGTGTGTTTACTCATGGTGACTGTTGAGGGGAGCTGCACCCCCCAATGATAAAAAAAGACTTTTTACAGCAATCATTTTAGTTATAATTATTTTCCACAATATAGGGAAAAGACTCTGAACTTGGGGTAAACCTTCTTGCATCCATCTGAGAGTGATTGCAACAATAATGAAATTTACACTGGGTTATACAACTTTTAAAAAATATTACATCTGGCTGCTTGATTTTAATTGAGTTCCCTACAGCTTTATTTTCCAGGTCAGTGATAAATCAAAGATAGGCAGTCAATAAGCTACACCAACCTCATTTCAGTTTGCATTGTGAGTGCATAATGCTTATGGTTGTCAGTCCAAAGTTTTCCTTGTGTTTTACATGAACCATTCAGGTCATGACAGGAATTAATAATAATTAATGCAGTAAGGAACCAATAATCTGCAAATAGAGTAACATGGTCTAACAGGCTATTTCCTTCTTTTAAAGGCCAACGGTCCCCAGCAGTCTTGCATTTTTTTGCTGTCCTACCCCCATGATAAATGCACCCATGCTGGTCAATGCGCAAGTCTGGACTTGATGTGGGCATCAAGTCAGCTCCCACTGTTAAGACACCAATCTCAGGGATAAATTGTCCAGTCAGAATTTTCAGAAAATGACAGGTGTTATTTTGACATCCCGTTGGTTTGGCTTTACTGTCCCCAAAAAATGTTCACAGTTAGGCAAGAGTTATGAAGAACACAGCAAAAAAACCCAAAGCCAATAACACAAAAGAAGAAAATGTATCGTCATCGTACCCAGTAATACATCAGCAAATGACCTCAGCTTATGCACATTCCTAAACTCTGACCTCACTGTTTCGCATCATTTTTTTGCTTCTATTGTTCTCCAAAGAAGTAAAGAAGGGCTAAGAAAGGACGCACCCTCCAAGACCCCCCCCCCCCCCAGTCACCTCGTTGACATGTCCCCTGTCCCCATGGCAACGCGACAGCAAGCGACAGGCGCGTGTGCAAACGGGTTGCTCCGGTCGCTATCAGTCTGTACAAAAGAAAGTGCTATCCTGGTCCATATTTGTTTTGGCCAGCAGCCAGCAAAAAAGAAAAGAAAAATAAAGGTTCACAGTGCACTGTGTGGAAAAGAAGCTTTAAATGCGGCGGCTAGAGTAGAGGAAAGCAAGACAAAGCAAGACAAAAAGCGAGAGACTGCCGTGAAATCTTTCAAACGGCGATGGCACTGCAGTCCAGGCTTCCCACGGTGCCTTACAGTACGGATGGGCGTCGCCATTGATTTCCTTTTCAATCCATTACAAAGTAAAACCAAGGTTAGTATCGCCAATACCGATCCCGATATTCGGTGCAAGCCCAACCCTCGCGATAAAATTTGTTGTGCTGGAGTGGGGGGGGATTGCTTCTTCGATAGTCCCCTTAATGTCTTGCTCCCTATAGTAATATGAACATTTATATGAAATCTAAAAATTTAAAATCGAGATTCTCAAAATCGAAGGAATAGATCATTTAGTGTGGATCTGCACATCGCCACTGTACAGAAGTCGTCCTTTAAAAGCCCTTTTCCGTTCACCCATGACACGTCAGTTATTCTTGGAATGGCCTTTTTTTGGACCACGTAAAAAGGACGGGACTCCAAAGGCATGTCTATGCGGCACAGCCTCGGGTCCAAAACAAACTGAGGCGGTTTTGGGAGGATTGTGTCGAGCTTGGGGTAATTACAGCACGGAGACTGAAACTGCCAAGCCGGGACCTGACATGTGGCAGCAGGCAATGATTTTTGGTCCTTCTGGGGCTCTTCAGACTTTCTTACTGTAATAAAAATAACACACAATCATGTTTTATTGTCACGTGTTTGGAGGGTGAAATTCTTGTGCCATAGTTGCAGGGGAGGGGCAAATGCTTGGGGGGAGGGGAGATAAAACAAGCAGCAGTGCAATACAAAACAAAACAATGCAAGACAAGTGCAATCGAAAATGTTCTCCAATTTTCCCAGCATGCATTTTTCCTTCATCAAATGGTAAAGAGAATGTGCGGATGGCTGTTTACAGAAATAAATCAGGAAGTGAAGGAAATGAGTGCACATTCTAAGTGCACATTCTGAATGCACATTCTGATTGCAAATTAGGCACATGTTTTCATTTCCAGCAAATATGAATTTTCAGGTTCAGTTACAAAGATGATGTCTTTTCTTGGGTGAAATTGGAATACCCATAGGCAGTGTGTGTGGTGTGTGTGTGTGTGTGTGGCACACTCAATTCCAATGCTTATCTCATTGGTCGGCTTGGAGTGCTTCTTGGCATTAAAGGCCTCTTTTCACCAAATCACCCCTTGTGTGTTTACGTGCACCTCTGCTGTCCTGCAGTCACTCCTTCAGTGCTGTAAGGCACATGCACGGTTAATCTGCATGATTTCTGAATCTCATCTTATTGTTATGGTTGTTCTCCTGCGAGGCCCAGCAGCTACTGCTAATGTTCTCTCTCTCTCTCTGCTGTTGTTCAGCAACAATGGCACATTTATCGCATGTTAATTTTTTTTTAAGTTTTGTTTAGCTGCCTTAGTTCTCTTACTCTAAAACCAAACAGCCAAAAGAAGGAAATTACACGATTAGACTGGTCAGGCAGATATATGACGACATCATCTCAGCCCCTGATCCAGAACTCAAAAGGAACACCCCACAACACCGGCACTCTTGCGGGTTAACACGCCAACATTCAAGACAACAAGCATGGCAACTAACAGGTCAATAGCATTGGCTGGACCAGCAGAAGTTTTGCTTCTGTTTATTATCTTCATTTGGCAGGAAGTTGTTTAGACAAGTGACTGGGGAGCGTCTGTTCTCATGGGGCCCAGTGGTGTACATCCCAGGCAGATCATCTCTCAGTCTCCTCACGCAAACCCAAGAGAGGCGGGACAAGAGATGGAGCCCCGCATTGTCGCCAGTGATGGACGAACAAGACAAAACAAAGGGCCCATCTGTCTGTGCGATCATGTGTAAACACTCCTGAGTGACAGATTGTCTCACTGTTTTACTATGACTTTAGTCTGTAGCTGTGTCTTTAGGCGAATAAGTTAAGGGTCGGTACTGTACGGGAAGTAACAATATCATACTGGTACTCTGTAATAAGGGGT